TGATATTGTTCCTACCTAACGTCTAAGATCTACTCCATTTCAAGATGATTTAGATAGAATTTGCGCGGTTAAATGTAAAGGTATGCTTCGGCTAATTAATTGTTATAGAAATTCAACTTGTAACGTTTGTTTCTTGTGAACTTCAAGACAGGTTTACTGATAAAAATTATCTTAATGGAATATTAGCTATCAGTTTAAGCTACATTCATCGAATAAAATTCCATGGAAATATTTTCACACTGTGCTACAACTTTCAATAACGACTAAATAAATGTGCAACCATGAATATTAAAATTCATTTAACAGCTAACAAAAGCTTTACATAAAGGAATGACACAAATGTATTTCGTTTGAATATTCATATTGTTGAAATCTAAACCATTATTAATGTCTGAAGTTTTTAATAGGAATGTTTTACGACTTATTAATTCTCTCCAGACATCCAACTAAAGCAATTGTCAGTAAAGACTATTGTAGATGGGAGTATTTTGGAAGAACATGGTTTGACGAAAATTCGGTATTGTGATAAATGTATTCCAAACTAATTACAGGGGTTTAAGGTTTAGAACACTTTGCTGTAAAAGCTGAATATACTCAAAAACAATACTTACACAGAAGTAAGTTAGCATCGAAACCAGTTAGGATGTATAGAAGCAATTAATTACACGAATTTACGAATGGTTACTAGGTTTGTTTTTTGAAACATAATATACAATATTGGTTCAGTTCAGTATAAGATATAATATATTGTCTGATATTTAATGTTACACAAATTCTATCGTTCAAGTTGATAGTGTGGTAATTAAGTTAAGTTATCTGACCCCACGATTTACTATTTGTAATGTTTGATGAGTAGGTGAAATTATAAGGGAGCTCTTGAAATGTGTAATATACTGTCTCCGAGAAAATTAAAGAGCTATCAAAACGACATACCAAAAAGCTTCATACAAACAGTGTCTGACTTTTGTAAGTACTGACAAAATGCTGATACTGGTCAATAAAGAACGACTAATATTAATACTGGGTTACAAAACAGGTGTAATCGATAATGTACTTACGACAGTAAAATCAGTCAACACTGAGTGTCACATTTCTGTAAAGACAAGGTTTGGGGCAAATAATCCCAAGTTTTGTGCATCATCTTATGACTGGTAATTTGGTACGAAATGAACAAAAACAGAGGACATCGTTGAATGAACATTAATACTTAAATGAGGACCATTAGATAAGATATAGTAAAGGAATCCCAATAATTTTAATGATCATAATGTGAATTAATTCAGTTACTTTTGTCAATAATTTTCAGACTTTCTATTTTTCCCTGGAAATAACGCATTTGACTCATCGTATGTTTATAAACCATGTGCTGTGTCACACCAGTGTTCCATGATTTACTTAACGTGTAAAAGTTTATTGATGAGAATACGCTGTTATGCAACGTAAAAACTGTTACACATGTAGTGACTCCCTTTTATCACGAGAACACGATTGGTTTATTGAAAACAATTATTATTATGACCAACTGTACCAGTGACTGTTTAATGTACTCTTTGTTTAACTGTGCTAAAAACATCCATTATTCTTACACTTTGATTGTGAACTCGCGCGAATTCGGTTACGCTCTGTAACCAAGCTTGTACCCTAACACGATCTCGGTATTCTTTCGATACCACGAGATCGCCAGCAAATATATCTCGACTTAGTCCATTAACTGCCTTCTGACATTTGGCTTCCCAGGGATTTTATGGATTTATTTGGCAAGTGTTTCTCTGTAGCGGTGTTCATAGTCTACCGCGACTCGACCCCACGCTACACACATTTACATTTGTTCTGAATTAATAGCAAATTATTTTATTGTAATTAGCTGTTTCCAATTAAATTCACAGTTGTAATTTCACTGTTTACTTTGGTTTCATATGGTATAAAACTAATTCAAAAAAAATTAGATTTTAAAGTTTGAACACCGTAATAACTGGATAGATTTTCAGTTTGAATTACTAACAGTCGGAAGACTAGTATAGAAAGCTGACCAGAGAAATTATGTATCACGTAATCGTTAAAAATGAATTATGAACAGTTCCTTCACTAATTAATTTGCTGCTGTTAACAGCCTGCAAATGAACTTCAAAATCAGCAAGTAGGTTGTAGATGCCTACAGTCATGCGATGCTTTGTTCTTAACTACTGGAGTACGTTTTATGGAAATATGGGAGCTGTTAGTTCGTATATCATGTGGTGATGTGGTGCGTGCTACTGATGTTGATAGATATAGTAGTATGTAGCATCAAAGTGGAGTGCCTGGCGAGAGAAGGTTAAGAGGATGGAAGAAAAGAGGACGAGAACAGTGAATGATTGCTGTGGAAATGGAGGAGCAGTGAAGTCTGAGACGATTGTGTGACATTTTGCAAATTAAGTATTTACTGTATGGATCTCCGATTTTACTAAGATGTTCTGTAATTTTTGTGTTCAAGTACATTCGATTGTTTCCACTTTTGTTCTTGTTCACTATAGTGGTAGATTATCCTTCAAAATAAATAGTTTTGTTACTCCTCTACATTGATTCTGATCTCATTACATATACTGGATGCACACTTGTTAGATGTACTTGGACAAGCGTAAACATCAGATCACGTTTGTGTACGCCATGTTACACAACCATTACATCTACTAGTTAGCTTAAACCATATACTTTGGACATATAGACTGTATTCCAGTTCATTCATGACATCTGGTTCGAATGTCTTTGGAAACGTCGATTATGAAGGTGTTGCGAACAGAAGCGTTATCAAGCAGTTATTATGCCTGACGTCTTTAATCATATGCAATACTGATATTGTTACTTATCATAGGTCGGTTCTTCTAAGCTGTATTTCTTAGTTAAGAAGCTCTGGAACCTACTGTATAGATACATCTTGATTATGAACGTTTGAGAATCGGGAACTGAAGCTATGGGGATGAAATGGAAGTAATATTGATGCATCTGGAAAGGTTAAAGAGGTAATGTGGTTCTTAGCAAACCATCTTGTGAACAACCTTGGAACCATCGACTCTTCATTATATCAAATATTGTTTTTGTCTCAACCAATATCAAAGTCAAAATCTTTAATACGAATATCAAGACAGTTTTACTGTACAGAGCTGAAACTTCGAGAACTATTACAACTATCATCAAACATGCACAAGTATTTACAAATAGATGTTTACGCGAGATACTCAACATTCATTGTCCGAATATTATTAGCAAGTCTTCTGTTGGAGAGGAAAAACCAGCTTCCAGCTGAAGGGGAAATAAGAAAAGACTACGGAAATGGACAGAACATGCTTTACGGACATCAGCGAACTGCATCAAGAGTCGAGCGCTAACTTTGAATTCTCAAGGGAAGCGGAAAAGAAGGAGGCCAAAAAACACATTATACCGGGAAATAGAATCAGATATGAGAAGAATGAATAAGAACTAGAAAGAACTGGAAAGGATTGCTTAGAACAGGATTGGATGGTGAATGCTGGTGGGCGGCTCCTCTACGAAGTGTAACAAGCCTAAGTAAGTAAAGATATTTTAGTTACTATACATCCCATTTAAATAAACCTATCAGTATATTGGCCTTTCAAACCTTGGCAAAATTCTCGTGGCTAGCAAAACATATGTCCCTTTGTGTATGCTAAATTCAGAAATTTAAAGGGTGGAATGTTAAAAACTATTTTCACGGAAGAAGCCTAACAACTAGTTGATTGTAGCATTTTGAAGTACAATCTACTGTATGATGAACATAGTTTTTACTCCATAAAAGTAACAAACCTCCAAAGTTTTCTGCCATTCTTAAAAGTTCAATCAACTTTATAGATTCAATAGAATATACAAATGTTTCAAATGGTTGTGGATGGAATAGAAGAAACGTTCGCTTAACGAACTACCGTGTCTAGTAACATTTTAGCTTACATCAATCGGTGATGAAAACCATAGAACTAATTCCTAACCCTTAACAATCAACATTAAATCCTAATTCTGTTTCCTCACTATGGTTTATAACCCTCATTCGGTCCTAGTTAGTATGTGGACATTCTCAAGGTCACGCTAGCGTCGCTGAACGTTTGTTCATAAATTATGGTCTCATTACCGCTTTTCGTCAAGACCAAAGACAGCCGATGCATATCAGTTTGTTGCACGTTATAGACTGGTCCATATAGCAGTTGTTACGCTCTATTCCTTGTAACTACTCTTATTAACATATTTCTCTAATAACGTCGTTTGTGTTGTACGGTTCTGTTGACTAGCCGCGTAAAGAGAACGTGAATACTAAAGGTCAAATACAAATTGTAGTTGAGAAAAATATTTTCGTCCATGGAAATATTAAATAACAAAAGCATCGAGAGATGCATCAAATGTGCAGAGTATTTGTGTTTGATAAGTCACCAACTCAATCAGTATCAAAATAACTCTGCTTATACAAACTATATAAAAGAACATGCTAGTAGATAAATACATGCGTACTATCATACACAAATGTTAAAATTGTTCACGATTACAAGCAAGTAATAGAAAAGTCAAACATACTGAATAACCATCTCAATCGAATCAATTCGTCTGCTCAGAAATGAGAATGACATAAAGCGGGAGTTCCAGACACTACACCACCCCTATATCAAATAATAGCTTTGAAAGATCATATTATAACAGTTGCTATTTAGATGTTACACATTCTGCGACTCGCAAATAGTTTGTTTAGTTAGTTTTGCAGTTATCTAAGATTATACCCATTTGATACTGGGAGTGAAAGCTGAGCCATGAATAATTGATCTGAAGACGGTTTATGTCCTGTCGCTTTGTCTATTAGACGATTTCATTTCTGATATCGTCTTCGAAAGTTTATAAAGAAGTGACGAACCAAAGGATATTGATGGTCGTTTACATGGAGTGATTTGTTTTAAACGTTAATGGATGTTTCGCCGGGATATATATAGCTCTCATGAGTATTCGCGCAGTCTTAATGTAATAATCTTCTAATGTCATCTTACTACGATAACGACTTGGTTGGCTATTACAACGAAAGTGGTGTTTTTAAACCATGGATGAATTCAGATTACCGTTATTCGTATAGGGATTCAAGACAAATTGATGTAAGTTTATAATGTAAATTGGATGCAATTTATTACAAAAGTTTTATCTCATGGGACTAATTTTCGTACTTAGCAATTTGAAGTACTTACTATGGTACTGTCAAGTAGAGTAATTGGATTCTTTTACATGATTAAAGGTAAAAATGTTGATCATCTTAGTAATCATAACTTTTATGATTAGAAATGTTTTCTAAAGAAAAGGTAAGGGCAAAATTATAGATATATGGGTATAAAATATCTTCGTCTCAAAGGATTTTAACTTTGAGAATAGGGTTTTCTGACAACTGTTTCTGGTCGAAATTTTGTCTCCAGCTGGAGAAAGCTATTTGGGGAGAACTAAGTAAGTTAGCCACTAAGCATAACCGAGAAAAAATATACGTTTGTATATACTTTCACATTTTATTGCCAATATGAGCCAAACGTACTGGAATGAATGATAGATGGAAGGGATAAACGTATACTATAGTATCAATGACAATGGGTAATTCGAAATATTTGAGAATATAATTCGACAAGAAAGGTTAGAAAGGAATGTAACAAAAAATACTTGAAATAAAGACTGGAGGCCGTGTAAGTATTGAGTCCATCTTTCCCCTATCATCTAACATTTTCAACTAACAAGTTGTCTATATCCATTACTGTCACGGACTAACATTCGTTGACTCCATGGGCTGAAATAACGTTTTAGTTTAGCCAGTCTTACCTTATTTTCAACCTACTTTTACACCAAGAGATATTTCCCGTCGATGTGAAATGTGTTCATATGTACCTAAAACGCATTCTAATTACATTAGTCTATGAGGATTTACTGCATTATTATCTGACTGAACATCTGCCTAGCTCTCTATTTCTAACGTCATTTTTGTCCACTTGATCGTTCAACGTTGTACGCTCAATGTTTTGAAGACATCTTTGTCTAAATGGTTGTGGCTTAAAAATGTCTTCCACTTTCATAAACCAGATTTCAGAGTTTTAAAATAATAGAGAATTAACTACTGCGCATCATACTCGCTCTTTTTCTGACAGACGATCATCTCGCCTACGCTACAAGTGATACAATTCGCGTGGCGTTTATCACCTGGTGTGCCCCGCATCGAGAACAAAACACCCTACAGAATGCTGAGTATTGTAACTCATACATATTTTTAACATATTCTAATTTGTCTACTTTCTGTAAAGCCAAAACTGATCGTTCATGACGATACACCATCTAGCAAAGTAATTACCAATCATATATTATTACATCTTACGTCTTTGTGAACAGTTACTACATCTCTTTTAGTAGACGTGTGAAAATTATGTTGCTAATTTTTTAGCACGTGCTGAGCTTTTAACGCAGAACCAAAATAAGTAAACTGACTGACAATCACCATGGTATTATCTGTGTGGTGCATCATACTTCGAGTGAAATAGGTTGAGTCTTCTTGAAAAAGGCAAATAGTCATTTATCACTAATATTTTATGGTAAACATGTTGCCTGTAACTTACTTAGTTCGTGAGCCTTTAAGCATTAGTGAAATTTCGACTTAGTGAAATACAAGTTTTTTTTTGAACTTACTGAATGGTCCAATCACTACTGTGTGACTAATATTTTTAACAGACCGTTCGTAAGTGAAAATCTTTTGGAGCTTCAGTGTAAATCAAAAGTATAGAAGTGTGTACACAACGAGTTACGTAGCATTTACTCAAAAAATTACTGAAGGGTTTGAATATTATTTAAAAAAAACTGAACTATCTAAAAACGTCGTAAATCACTGTCAAGCTGATGCTCTCATCTACTTACATGTCGTAATAATCACGCACCAGACAAAGTTTTAAAAACGTTGGTATCACTAAGAAGATCATGAACATGAGTTTCAGAATTGTTTTTCATTTGTTTCTTTTTTGGTACTACAGAGATATATCGTGATTATGCATTATAGATTACTTATAACGTACCACTTATAACGGAGTTGACTATCAGTCATTAGATGAGGTGATAACGCCAAGTTTAGTAACTTTTTCATGCTTATTTTAACTTATGAATATTAAGTTCATTGAGCTTTGTAGGCACTAGTGACTAAAGTATTACTAGGCGTTGAGTAAGATTGTATTAGGTGGAATTTAACAACTAGATTGAAGTAAGCACAGTTGATGTTAAGTGATATTATACCCAACTGGAAATCTGAGCACTGTGTCTTTGACTTCACTACTTAAAGTTCTACGGTGCTAAGTACCCAAAAGTCGGATAAATTAATTGACTTAATTAGAAACAACGGAATAGCAATGGAATTCCCCTGCAGTTAACTTTTATTTGGATGTACTTAAGCAGACCTCACCTGCAATTACCCTTCTCTATATACAGTAATATTGGATCCTCGATGAACCTTAAGATAAGCATTGAATACAGTATCTGAGCGTTAACAGTAGTTAGTTGTATTGCTCTGATGTTCGGGCCAGAATCTACTTAAAAAGGGGAACTAATATATTTGTCGATAATATACAGTAGACGAGTTTTTTTAATCACTTTTGAAATGAAGCTTATCAATGTTTCTGTCTTCCTTGGAAGATTTTTTTGCTTAAATTTATGTGGTAGCGTTTAGTTTGATCATCAAAAATTAGATGAAACATACATTGTTTTAAAGCTCTTATAATAGGAAACCTATACTGAACAGGTATCTGCAGCTACATTTGTGTGCTACATCCCATAATATGAATACAACATCTGCCCATAATTTATTCTAATTTGTTAATTTTTTAGTCTGATATAAATATAATTTATATGGCATAGACAGAAGTCTCGTTTGCAATGCTACCTAGTTTAATACCTGAAAGCAGTAGTAATAATAATTACTAGAAACGTTCACTATCTACCGTACAAAAATCAGATAACATCACATATTCTGGTCAAAATTAGACATAGTTATCATAGGATGCAAAACCCGGCTCAGATCGAGTAGGGTTGCAAAGATATGAAGATCGTTTGCGTTTTATAGGCTAGCATCACATTGATATTTAGTTTCTAACATAATTACCGATTATGACTGTTATTAACAGTTCAAAAAAATACGGGAGGTCCTATAAGTCTATTGTACTTTTATAATCTTTGTGCATTAATTTACCTATAGAATAGCTTGGATACAGCTCTTCCTCATTATATATTTTACTGTTGTCGCAATAGGACTATTTATTTTTTTGATATGAGAAAGATGAAAACTAGTTCTCGAATCAATAAAAGATTCTGATCTTATCAAAGTTTTCTTTCAAAAACTACGTTGAAGAAGTAATACTTAAGTTTATGTTTAATAATACAGTAAAAGTAAGCTTTCTAGTTGGTTACAAAAATATTACACCAATATGTTTATGTGTTGACTAAAATCGTTTTACATCTGTGTTTATTCAGATTTTTCTATATATATAAACACAGGATTTTGAGTTATTCTGGGTTTCAGGCAATCTTGCGTACTTAGATCCTTTAAGCTTGGTATGCCGGGAAATTATTAAGTAAGTCGTCAGTTATTCATACTATCTGAAATGAAATGTTTAGTTATACAATAAATACAGTAAATTTAAATTTGGTTTTTTCTTATTTGTGCTACCACCATTTTTGTTTTTAGGATGATTCACGCTACGGTAAACGGATTTATATTTACAGAGACTACACAACTACTCCTAGGTATGTCATATTATTATTACTTCTTCCAAGAATTTTTCCATGTAAGTAAATACTTATTCGTAATATACAATTAGCCGTATTAATAATCGTCGTTCAAAGTCTCATTCGGAAACAAGTACTTTGTGTTTTGTCCATTATTAACTTTTAAACCTGGGGCAAGCCTTTTCTGATGTTTGATGTATGCTACTACTTATTCCTGTCACTTCTCGTGGAGTAGCATAGGCCGCCCACCAACATTCACCATCGAACTCTGTTTTGGTCAATGCTTTCCGGTTGTTTCCATTTCCTATTCATCCTTTTGATGTTTGCTTCCGATTCTCGGCGTAGTGTGTTCTTTGGCTTTCTTGTTTTCCGTTTTCCTTCAGGATTTCAAGTTAGCTCTTGCCTCGTGATTCAGTTTGATGATTTTTGCAGTGTATGTCTTATCTACTTCCAACCTCTTTTCCTAAATTCTTCTTCAGTTAGAAGATGATTAAGTATCTCTCACAGTAGGCAGTTACTAATGGTATCCAGTCAACGGACATTGAGTATCTTGTGCAGACAATTGTTTATAATTACTTGTGCATGTTTGATGATGGTTGTAGTAGGTCTCGAAGTTTCAGCTCTGTACAGTAGAATTGTCTTGACATTCGTATTAAAGATTCTGACTTTGATGTTGATTGACAGTCATTTTGAGTTCCATATGTTCTGAGACTGTAGGAATGCTGACTTTGCTTTCCCAGTTCTCTCCTTCTCGCCATCACTTTTAACTTTGTAATACTTAGGAAACGTATATTCACTTGAAAAGATATCAATGTCATTTGTGCTTATTCTCCTCGTATAGTGGTATTGATTACCTCACCACATGAGCAATTCTCATTCTTTAACTGTTGCAGGGGATATCTGTAGAAAAGAGTGAAATGTTTTTTCTTTTTAATTGAACAATAACTAGAATAAATTTAACATATAAGTCGGCCATTATTCAGCTTTTATTAAATTTGAACTACGTAAGGATCACGAGATTTTATTCGGTTTTGTATTTTGATAAACGACTATTGCCATTTTATCAACGAAAGGTTTTGTCTTACATGAAATTATTCATTTTTAACCCCATATTTAGAAAATGTATAACTATATACTGGAATATTGACAATCTTCAAAATCGACCATAAAGTTTTCAATTTGTGAATGGACTTTGTGATTTAATTCCTATTTAAGAAGTAATACATAATTTACATAATATACAGTGACGTTTTAAAATTAGATATGTGTGCTTTGGTGTCCTAGAGATTATTCAATATCCCTTGTATTCATTTATATTATTTTAGTTACTATCGAAGAACGTATTCACCAAGCTATAATTATGTGTCTCCTCTACGTCGGTTTCGATCATATAGTAGTCTGTCAGACTATGGGTAAGTCATTCAACCTTTGTGCTAATGAAAATAGGGTTACTAGCTGTTGTTCTACAAATAATAACCTTGTCTGACAACTTCTTGACTGCTCGAACCTAGTTAAAGACTGGTTGACTTATAAATTTACAGCAAATGTTGCTCGCGCACTTATTTTTCCAGATTTATCGAGTGCTTAACAATTTTTGGTCTTCTTTACAAACATTTTAGTGTCTGAATTTATAAAACGTTAATTAAAGAACTGCATATTTTAGCTTAAATGAAATATATGTACAAAGTGTAACACATCACCTTCTTTAGGAACGATTCAATTTCTCTTTTAAAAGAAAAAAAAACAATATTTTGTTGGTACAACACTACTGTTGGTAACGCAGTCTTATCAAGTGCCCAATTTATGTTCATTTTGTTTACAATATTCACTAGATTATGCTTAACAAATGTTTTAAACATTTTTACGTCGCTGATTGGATGTACAAATCTAGTTGGTAATGTAGATCTGACATGGTATCTTATCTGAACTAACAGATTAACTTAACTACTTCGATATGTAAAACAAAACATTTGTTCACATAAATGAACAATTATCAAGAATTTTACTGTAAAAGTTAACGAATAAGTGATGGCTTAATTAGTAATTTTGTTAGAGGAAAAACTAGATTTTGTCCTTGAAAATATATGTGAGTAATAAGTTGGCTACTGTTGATCTATAAGTGCTTAGACAGTTATTTCTCTTCATATAAGTAATTCACCACGAGAAAATGTTTTAGAACTACCAAAATAACTGTTTAATAAAAATGTGAACGTAATCGTTTGTCGCTTGAACTTATGAGAAACAAAGAAATACAGTTGATAGTAATTTTCATTAACTGCAGCACAATTTGACTTGATTCTTTGTGTTACAGGAGTTCAAGTTTTGTTCTTTCAGAACTCCTGGGTTTTTTCTAGTACAACTAAGTATTGATCGAATAACCATTAAAAAACGTGGAGCAACACTCAAGTAATTCAGGATTTTTACTCAGAGTATACTCTCGAACCATTTTGGAATTAATAAAATAACTATCGATGTATAAATTTTATTATTTGAGTTCTTGTGTAAATCTGTGATTTTCAAAGAGAACTGATTCGTAATAAAAAATAAGCGGCCATAAGTAAATCTAGAAAAAGAAATCTATTAATACAACTTACCTGTTTGATATGCTGTGACAATTAGATGCCTAATTCGGCCTATATGATACAAACATTTCATAGTATTTTAAGACTTAGTTTTTTTGTTGACATTACAGATACTGTTAATCTTTTTATTTTTCTCTTCAATTTAACCACAGGATGAACTCGCTTTATGGCTATTCATATTCACGTCCAGCTTCTCAGATTCAAAGAGTAGATATATATGAGTGAGTAAATACTGATTCTTATTTATTATTGAGAGTTAAACCATTAAATATCTTGGTTTATTATCTAATGGTTTTTCATGATACATAACCAAATCATAAGAAATTTGTTAGTTTTTCTACATTAAACCAAAGTAAGGATCCTTTTCTAATATGACGAACACTTGTTCAAAATAGCTCAGCTTATGACTAAAGCAAGTCCTTGATTGATATGTGATTTAAAAGTGGTTTGCATTTATTTGGAAATTCTTTAGGTGGCTTGTATACAGACTTAAATATAGTGTTTTATTATATCAGATTGGCATAAGGAATATTCTTTGAAATATCACGTGCATGAAATTGAATGTTATTCAGACCGTAACTAATCGCTAATTTCATTCACTGAAGAGTTAGGTAGAATAGTTTCGGTCATCCACTTTTTAAAATTAGAAGACCCACTTATACCGTACCTAACTGTTCAAATAAACTGTATACTTTATGTGTACAGTCAGTTACATTCGTGAAGAATTTACGCATGATAGCTAAACTACTGAAAAGAAAGGCTTACAAAACATACATCAAATAAATATATATACAAGAAATTAAAGTTGTTAATAAGCTACAGATATATTTCGAAAATATAATATCTAATGTTTATTCAAATTTTCGGGTGATTGATTACCAACCATTTCTTTTCCTTCCAGCGATACTCGGTATAGCAGATATTATTATTAGAGAACGTTTATCTTTCGGCAGGACTACACCTTTTCTTTTGAGTGTTTATTAATTTTGGTAAGTTTTGATACGAATGTTTTAAATTAACAGACTTCAGAGTATTTCCTGATAAATATATATTGATATTGTCACATGTTAGTTGACAGTCTTTACAGTAATTTTACTAAAAAATAATTTGTAGTTCTCACAGACAACAAAATCTCATTGTTTGTAGTTAACTTTCTATACGCCTAAACATCTGAATAAGTTCCAGAAGAATTTACACCTTATTTATTTAAGACTTGAATGGTAAAAAATACTTTTTTCTCTGTTCGAACACTGTGCTATTCCCTCTGTTTGGTTGTCTTTTCAAATTCATGTGAAATAAATTGTCCTATGAACCTCCATATTTTATCTCTTGATCTCACACTGTTTAATGAAAAGTGGTTCATCAGTGTTCGAATGTTTACGCAATAGGAAGACGATTTTCCGTCGGAATCATATCTAATGGAAAGACTCTTAAGAGATTATATCTTTTTCTCATAATTTTTATGACATTTTCTTATTTTCTAGCAGCATTACTTCTTGAAATCCAGTTTTATCCAAATAGGGGATAATACTAATGAATGCGAATCGAAATGTCGTTTACCAATGAGATGTAAATTAAGTGTACCATAATGTTTGAGTACAGGTTACTTTTATTCGATGTTAACCAACGTTAGTCCATAGTCTTATGCGTAGTTCATACGCCTCAGTAGTAGTTTGGTATACAATACCAGCTCTTAAAATTGAGCAAACTCCTTTACAAGTGATGTGAGTTTTACAGACAGCTTTTTTCTAGTGCCTAGTTTTATGTGAAATTCATGATAAAATTTATAGTAGATAGATTTCCGACCCAAAAAACTTAAGATATCCATAATTTTATGGAGCTGATAGTGGCACATCGAAGTCTGAAGAATTTCATCAAATATTGTATATCCTTTTGACTTCAAACTTTTTAACTAGAAATCCTTGTTCATAAGTTGATGTTGGCTGGATGATCATATACAAAACCCAACCACTGACCAACTGTGAAATTCTGGTGTAGCACGTGTAAGAACTGCACCCCTTTAGCTCCGAATGAGTTGAACTCAAAAAAGTAGTACCACCAACATATAACGGTGCAAGACACTTGACAGCAAAATGTACTTTTAAGTTCTGTTTTACATGGTGATTAAAATCCTGGAACTGATATTTTTGGAGACACCAACTAATTGACGTCTTTTCTCAATTTTATTTTATTTGAGGTTTGAAATGTGGCTTTTGTCTATTGTTACTAACAGGTGGATGAAATCACGTTTTCTTTCTAATTTTTCTACAAAGTGAGGTATTTCGCTCTCATAGAAACATATTAATGGATTAACGTACAGAATAAAATGAACGTGACATTTTTGTTGCCATGTGATTTATTTCATGTAACGTAGATTTGTTTTTGTGAAATATAAATTGTTATTTCCACATATTTTTATATTTCTCATTGAGTAAAAATATTAGGATGAAAGTGTTCGGCGAAAATAAAACGTCATCATACTAGTACTCAATTGTTCATTGAAATTGATACTTGATAAAATTGCTCATATTATGTTATGTATGTAATTGCAAACAAGAACGTAGATAGAAGTTAGATGATATGACTACTGTTGGTTATTTAATCCCATGTAACTGCACTCTCGTTTTAACGGAACATGAACTGATATCAAGTAATCGCCATTGGATCATTTTGGATTTAACAATACTTATTTTTGGGTTTAATATTAAAGCATTCATCGAAGTGATAGTTACCTAAATTGGGTGTTTACAGCCAATTCTCGTAAAATGATCTATTTGGATTGTTCTTTCTACGGTAAATACATATTATCAAAAATATTTTTGATGTTCGGTTCAAAATCACCAATTCCATATGACCATAGTGCACATTGATGAACGCTTACATAAACATTTTTCGTGAACTGTTTATTTTGGCGTGATTTAGGGAAACAGTTCCCAGCGATAGGTGCAGATGGTATCGAATTTAGACTTCTTATTTTAGGAGTTGCCAAAATGTGGCTATCATTTTTTTATTTTAATAAATAATAAACATCTCATTGATGAGTTCCTGGTCAATTATAATTTGCTCTTTTGATGAATGAAGGTATATATAGTTATTTTTGTGATAAAAGAAAACTATATTTAGTGTTCTTGCAGAATTTGAACGATAGTAATAAAATGAACTTCGGGAAAAAGCGTTTATTTACTCATCTATTGTGATATGAAGATTTACAATGCTGCTTTTGATACCTTACAGTAATGGATATCTATAAAAATAATGCTGAAGTCAGAGATGAGCCAGCGTCTCTATTAAATGAGCCACATAAAAGCAGATGGTAGGTCACGTGAGGAGTAAATATTAAAATGCAAAACGTTTTTAATTAAAGTGCTGATATGCATCATTTATTAATGAAACCAGCATTTGATTGCATAACCATTAGGATTAACAACGTCACTTTATCAATATAATAAATACAACTGAGTTCAGTTTTTTCACAAGTGTGTCGTTCACTGTGACAATCATCAGTGAGTCTAGATTCGCGTCTTTTATTTGACTTCTATTTCTCGACTCTTTGAACTGTATGCATGAAAATTCTTGTTCACAAATACATATTCACTGTAAGAAATGATCATGTTACGCACGAATCTTTGGAATTTATGAAGCTTATCATCTAGAAATAACAAACTGAAGTTATTGGATGTTACATCACTTAAAGGTTTATTCGGAACATTATCAGATTTCGGGTTTATCGATTCAATGTGAAAATCATGAACACTTATTTCTGTCAAAAGAAGATGAAGCGGTCAGTGAATGATATCGGGTTTTAAACGTTCTATAATCTTTGAAAACTTATGAACATTTATTTTTAGGCATTAAAATAAAGCAGTATTGGGTGTACGATTGTCTAAATAAACAAAATGCAATTCAACCAATAAGAATTAATTTATGAAACATAAAGTGAAACATTTTATGATGCCATGTTTCTTTGAAATAATTTTGTAATTTCTCGGTTGTGGCCCGTTAAATAAATATTTTTCATCATAAGGTTTTTTTAAACTAATAACGAGCTTTAGTTTACACACATCTGGCAACAATTTCTAGATAACGATAATGATTGTTCCATTATTACTAGTTAGGGTCTGAATTATCTCATTACTAATAATGAGTGAGATTTGACCAGTTTTTATTGGGATGTATGCATTTGGAACGTATTCGTTTAATATGGCCATTTTTTCACAGCTTTCGAATGGATGGACTGCACGATTCATCCTATTTGGGACCTGTCAGTTGGATATTCCTGTATCTCATTGTTGACGTTTACACTGAGACTTGAAACAGGGTTAATAAGCTAGGGCTGTTTGGATTCTTGAAGAGACGGGTGTTGGGTTGAAGTCTCAGTGTGAACATTATCATGGGAATTCAGATAAATCTAACTACTAGCTCCCAAATACGCAAAAAGGCATGTCATAAATTCTTCCACTAATCACAGTCCATCTTTTTTGAAAAGTAATTTTCTCAAATGAATGTAAATAGCTCAATATTTCAGAGACGAAAATTTTCTTTTCGATGAAATCATTTACTTAAACTGTACATTTGTACTTACAGTTTTGTGAAAAATATATGTCTATAGAAGGATTGAAAATTGATTCTAGACTTTGATTATCAGATGAGGTTATGCAATAATCAAGGGGTAATAAAAGAATGTAAGGATGAAAATAATTTACGGGTCAGTTTATTGTTCGGTTGATAGATGTGAAGAAAAACGACAAATATAATGGTCATAAAAATAAAAACTGAATCATAATCAATAAAACTTGTTTAAATGTAGTAATAATGACTGATTCGAGTTTAAAATTACAAAACACTAATTTAAAAAATCAATAATAATAATAATAAGACGAAACAACCGAAACATATCACTGAAGGGAATTAGGGCCAAAGAAGGGTGAGAGGTTGGACCTTGTCCTCACACACCACTGTGAGGATGTCATCGACATTCAGCACCTTCTCCCCACTAGTGAATAGTGATCATGTCGTACTGTACTTTAACTTTAGGACACATGGTATACAATTTGTATTTACTCCATCCCGTCTGAATATCTGGTGAGCTAGTATTCTGATAATCAGAGACTGTGCTATTTTGACCAACTGGTCGATCGACGCAGATGGATCGATCGGAGACAAATGGAATAAGTTTAAGGCTACATTTGAACCCATTGGTCAACACGTAAACTATCACATTGCCCTCCATGGATTAATAAGGGAACCCGGAAGTCGTTGAAGTATATGAAACACTTCTGGGACTTGTTCTTGTCGACAGGAAACGCATCATTTAAGTATGAATATAAAAAATTCGGAATATATGTAAAAAGACTATAGCTAAATCCCGTACGACTTACGAAAGACACTCGGCACATGATAGCCGTACTTGTTCAAAACAATTGTTTCCGTATGTTAAACGGCGAATGAAACGTAGAGATGGTATTCCCCCGTTATTGTTTCACAAAAGTTCAGATTTACTAGCTGAATCAGATCGTGCAAAAGCCGAGACTTTTTCAAACTATTTTAACAAAGTTCACTCTACGTCCATTGTTACAAATACTTGTTCCCATCACACCGAGATATCATCCGTAGGATCTGTACATGTGGCTGCGTAAACTGCTCTTCCATTGATTACTAACCTCGAACCTTGTAAATTACCGGGTCCTGACTGGTTACATCCACGGCTGCTGTCATCTCTTACGGAAATTATTTCAAGACAGCTCGCGACGCTCTTCAACATGTCCCTTTCACTCGCCCAACTCCCTAGAGATTGAAAAGACGCTATAGTCAGTCCTATATTTAAGGATAGTCAGATACAGATCGTATCCAACTACCGGCCTGTCAGTTTAACCAGCATAGTCGTTAAGTTACTTGAAAAGATAATTCGGGTTAAGCTACTAAGTCACATAGA